TGTCACCATGATGGGGTTTAGTGTTTGTGTGAATGACACTGTGTGCACCTTCTATATATAAGTATTGTCCTTCTCAGCTCGTAGAAAAGCTGTTTGTGATGAGCTTTGGTTCATCACGTGACTTTCTCATCACCACCAGTTTTTGGTGGTTATCAGTGCATTACAATGGTTCAAAACAGATATTAGTACTTCAATATGTTGGTTTATTAACATTACATCAGTTAATGAAATACGGTATTTTATTGTGAATTTAAGTTAAATCTGTAAAACCTAAAATGTTGCTACCATATTTTTTATGGTGAAGTTCTGGCAATTACAGCTGCCGGTATTTTACCGTAAATGTCACAGATTTTTTTTTTACAGTGTATAGTAAAATAATACTTTATAATCATAAGAAGATAACAGAAGATCATCATGATAACAGTATAGTCTCATATTATAACCTCCTAAAGCACAAACACGTGCGATATTTTTCCAGATTTGTCTGTAATTGTTCAGACGCAAGAAGCACGAGTCCTTGAACATACAAAAATCACTTTGAACAGCAAACAACGGTTTTTTGAACCTAAATGTTGTTACCAAGTATCCCATGGGCCTCTCTCCATCACAGGGTGAGTAAAATGCTTAAATCTTCAAATATGTGTGGTCACGTCAATTTTAGATTTCAGTTGTAGACAGCAAGTTTTTTTTTAAATAGATCAATTTAGTGCTAGAAAGAAAACCATACAGGTTTGGAAAGGCATGCAGTAAAAGACCATTTTCATTTTCATTTCATGACGTCACCAAAATATAAGGCTGGATGAGAATGGCTTAGCGATATTACTACATAGAGAATATTAAATAGTAGCCTGTATTATGATGTTGATGCTACTTTGTAATTTTCATGTAGCTTCCAGTCAGACAACCTAATTATTCATGAGCCCTTAGCATTCTCTGCAAATCAGTTACTACTGATAATCATCACGTTACATAATTAATGCTCATGACAGAAGTGTTCACTGCATCATCAGCGCTTGTCCTTTTGATGGTATAATAACTGATCACCATCCAAAAGACCATCAGAGCATGACCTTGATTTTGGCACAGTGTCTTTCCCTTTGAAACTGCACAATAATTGGCAATAATATCCTGAGTTAACTGTACTGTGTGCAAATGAACAGTGACATGAGAAGAATGTGAGATTACGGTTCAGTGTCAGTGGATAAATATGAATGTAACTTTAGTTGATTAGGAGTTAGGGCTTAGTGCTAAACTACATCGAGGGAAAACTAGTCTAGAGGTGCCTGTGTTGCGGTAATATTGAACAACAGCGCCATCTACTGCTCAATCACATCTCTACAACAAATCTGAGCTCAAGTAAGAGTGAAGTTTTGACATTTAAAGAGTTCAAACTGAGGTATAGCAAACAGGATGCAGAATTGCATTTCGAATTTGATTTTTTTTAATTAAAATGGAATGAAATTCATATAACCTAATCATTTGTGCTATTTCCAGAAACATTACATTATAATAACGTTCAGTGTCTGAAATGACACTTTGTATTTAATAAAATTAGTATTTAGTTCAAATATATTTAACGATACACTCACATTTTTCAGAGACCATGATGGAAGAATGCATCATTTCCCAGGATGCTCTTATTGTCTATTATAAATCTTCTAAGTGGAGCCAAACAACATGAAGTGGGTTCTCCAGATGAAAACACATAGAAAATCATCTGCTCTGGAACTTTTTAGTTGTGATGTTGAACTAATGAAATTCCTCTGTTGGATGATTGTGTTGAACATCTTTAATTCAACTTCCTGTGTGTTGTGGCCTGAATTGAAAGGAAGCCCGTTTTTAATTATGAGTTTTTCTCAATCCTGCTACATGAACTTTAAGTATTGCAAAGCAGCATATTCATGACTTAAATTCAAATAATAATGCAAGGATAGAGCGAATATTTTTTTATCATTAGAATTTACTGTCAATAATCAAGATCATGTCTACAATATGATATATTTCACCCGAAAAATTTGTGAAAATATTCTTTGTGATAAGAAGAATGATATTAATGTGAATTTTAAGAATGATTTGCTGCTCAATTATTATTGGTGCTCAGTTATTAATAATAGTTATTTTTATTATCAATCAACTTTTTTTACAGTCAGTTTTTACTCTCACTTTTAATCAATTTAATGCATATTTGCTGAATAAAAGCACATACACACATGCCCATTTGAATGGTAGTATATCGTGGTTTCTGCACAAATATTAAGCACATCTGTTCAACACTGATAATAAATAATCAGAAATGTTTCGTGAGCAGCAAATCAGCATATTACCATGATTTCTGAAGATCATGTGACACTGAAGACTGGAGTAATGCTGCTGAAAATACAACTTTGATCACAGGAATAAATTACATTTTATTATATATTCACATAGAAAACACTTATTTTAAATTGTAATAATATTTCACAATTTTTACTGTATTTCTGATCAAATAAATGCAGCCTTGGTGAACAGAACAGACATTACATTAAAAAAAAAATCATAATGTTTCCAAACCTTTAACAAGTACTATATATATATATATATATATATATGCATTTAATTCCCTAATAACCAGATCACATGACCTTTGAGTGATTATTATTGCACTGTTGATTGATTTGTCTCACAGCTGTCCTTTGCTGCCCTGTCTCAGAGTACGATGACCTCTGGGCCAAGCTGCATTTGTCACTGACTTGCTGCCATGTGAATGAGAGCCTAAGCTTCATCAGCAATAATTCACAAATACAGTCGCAGACACCGAGAGGTTCTCGTGGCTAGAGGAGCGTGGAGAAACCAGGGGTTCGTCAAACACAGCAAACAGAACAGTTATAAACCCTTCAGACCAGAGATTTAATCAGGCTGTTATGAGGTTTGAGCAATAACTGGACTGGCTAACACAAGTCTGAAGCTAAAAAGAGCCAACACAGTCTGAATATTAATTAAAAATATAAATATTAGATGAAAAACTTAAACTTGAAAAACTTAGAAAATTAGAAATGTTACCTTGGCAATTAATAGAATTAACATGACTAAAACAATAATAAAAAATTAAAGCTAAATAGAAATATTTAAAATAATAATAATAATTAAAAAAATGAAAAAACATAAGAAAATGAATCAAACTTAAATGCTCAGTAAAGTTACGTGCAAAGCTGTAAACAGACAATCTTTAATTTCATTAGAGTTTCTAGACTGTTCTATATTTTAGTAAAAGATGATTTATACTAATTCCAATATTTATGATTTTGGTTCTAATAAAATTAAAAACAATAAATAAATAAATAAATAAAAAATTGCAGTTGCCACTTAATACATTATGTAGTTACTTATATAAAGATGCAACTGTCTCGTGTAAATGAGACACAAATAATATAAAGGCTCTACTCTAATGAAGCTTCAAGTTTGCAGACTTCTCTATATTTTAGTGAAAAGGATTTAGATTAATTCCAATAATTAAGATTTAGGTCCAACTGAAGGAAAATGTAAAGAAAGAAAAAAAGAAAGAAAGAAAATAAATACATAAGAAAGATTAATACTAATTCAAAAAATTAAGATTAATGACTCCAAATTAAGAAAAAAGCAAAAAAAAAAAAAAAAAGAAAAAAAAAAAAAAAAAAAATATAAATATAT